AGAGATTCATTTATCTCAGTAGTTAAAATAAAAATTACCTGAAACAGTATCTTTGCCTTTTGTATACCTATTGCCCAGGGTCTTTTATGCAATAAATTTTTATCAAATTCTCAGTAAACACTTCAGACTGATTACAAGGGCTATGTACATTATGTACCTGAAGACGCCCAGACGGAGGAGATTATATAAAATGTCACCTATTATCCTAAATTAAATTACACAATGTAAATGTGTTATAATTCCTTCAAAGCTAATTTTGTTATATTGTATTTTGCAAAAATTAAGTAAAAGCATCTCTTCTGTATCCCCAGCATACGCTAGGTCTAAAGGAAAAGACATGATTGATCGCTTTGTTAAACTGCTCTACCGTGCTAGTAAATCAAAGGGTCAGTAAAACAACTACTGTAAGTAACATTTTCCCACTGCTTACAGTATGTCAGGCAATGTTGCATGCTTTAAATATATTAATTTATACACCTTACTTCCTCCTTATCTACCCTCACCCTTCCTACAATTTCAGGTACCAGCATTAACCACAGTCTAAAAATATTAAATGGAAAATTCCAGATATAAATAATTCAGAAGTCCCACGTTACATGCTGTTCTTGGAGTGTGATAAAACTATCCTATTTCATGCCTTTGTCCAATGTATCCACATTGTATATGCAGTCTCAGTTAATAGGTCAACTATCACAGTATTTCACTGCTTGGGCACATGTAACCCTTATTTGTCTTTTTTTTTTTTTTTTTTTGTCCTTTTGAGACAGGGTCTCACTATGCAGTTTAGGCTGGCCTTGAACTCACTTTGTAGCCCAGACTAGTCTCAAACTCTCAATGACCCTCCTGCCTCAGCCTCCCAAGTGCTAGGATTGCAGGCGTGCACCACCACGCCTGGCTAACCTTTATTTGTCTTAATGATGGCTCCAAAGCACAAGAGTAGTGATGCTGACATTTTGGATATGCCAAAGAGAATTAAGAGAAAAGGTAAAAGTTCTCACCCCAATAAGGAATGAAAGAAATTGTATGCTGATATTGGTAAGATATATAGTAAAAACAAATCTTTTATCTGTGAAATTGTGAAGCAAATGTATATTGTTATAATTCTTTTTATTATTGTTAATAGATTTCTGTGCTTTATTTATAAATTAAACTTTATCGTAGATTTGCGTTATAGGAAAAAACTATCTACAAGGTTTAGTGCTATCTGCAGTCTCAGATGTCCACTGGGCAGCTTGAAATGTGCCTCCCTCAGAAGGAGGACCACTGAACAATAGCAATATGAAATAGCATTTTCATCCCGGGTTTACAGACGGGGAAACCAAGGACAGTGTTGACAGGACTTGCCTCAACATTAGAGCTGATGTGGCAGGCTGAATAAAGACCTCTCAAAGACATCCATGTTCTAATCCCCAGGACCTGTCAAGGTTACCATGCACATCATCAAAGGGATTTACAAATGTGGTTAGGGATCTTGAGATGGGGGATTATCCTACACTGTCCAGGTAGGCTCAAGGTAATCACAATGGCTCTTGAAGGAGGTGGGCAGGAGCATCAGAGATGAGGAGAAGAGCTGGCTTATTGGAAAGTCAGGGTGAGCTTGGGCTGGGCTCTGCATTTTGGGGCTGCTCTGCATTTTGAGGCTATCTAGGCTCTTGAATCCTCCAAAATACACTTGGGAGGAGGGCCACAAACAGCACTCAGAAGCAAAGGAATAGAGTTTAAAGCACTTTACTAAGCAATTATCAAGGCTTTTTATGAGAGTGTATTGGTTTGGGGCTTATTTTGCAAGGGGAACAATATAATACAGGACACATACTTCATATGATTAATTATAATAGTCACCCAAAGAACAGTATACAAAAGAGTGCAGGGAATCTGTCCACACACTAAGACCAAGGAATCCAGCTGAGGGCCTGGATCCCACAACAATGTCCTACACGAGTTGAGCTGAATACCCAGAGCTCATAACAATGCCTCCCATGAATCCAACTGGAGGCCCAGAGCCCATGACAACATCTCATGCAGGCCTGTTTCACAGATCTGCTGGGAAGGCCCAAAGGTCAGTAGTGGAATCTACAAAGTCTGTGCCAGCAGGATGAAGGACCTGTGGTAAGCAGGCTAAGGGATAGGCATTGGAGCCAGGAAGTGATGCTCAGAAGAACCAGAGCTCCCCCAAAAGGTACCACAGCCATCCTCGGCAACAGTGAGATCCCGAGCTCCTCCAATGATGGGGATGGCTGAATTCCCGTCAGGGAAGCCAACGCAGCAAGCTTTTCCTGGAGGCCGGCAGTGCACCATCTTCCCCTCCGGAACCAGGAAGCTATGCTCAGAGTAAGGACCAGAGCTCCCCAAAGTGAACCAAAGCCATTCTCAGTGCCAGCGAGGTCCCGAGCTCCTCGGAGGATGAAAACAGCCAAGTTCATCAGGAAAGCCAGCTCCCAACAGCCTGCTTCTTCTTCTCCAGGTCTGCCTTTATGTTGCTGGCGACAGTCCTCAGGTGGGCCTCCCACACCCAGCACCTCACTTACTCAGTTCAGCTGGGAGTTATAAGTTGACCACCAGTTATCAACCTACTACAGAGAGGAACTACAGTTTGGAGAAAGCCAAGGGGACTGCGTATACAGGCTCTCTCCAAGGTCTAGGGCAGGATTTCTTTTCATTTTTTAGACTCTTAGGAGAGTTCTGAGGTGCTATGACTGACAGGGCTCTTTCCAATCAGCTGTGAGTCTCCACCCTCATGTTGGGAGAGGGAGGTTTTTTTGTTTTTTGTTTTTTTGTTGGTTTGTTGTTTTCATGGAGTTTTTTAATTTATCTGGGCAAGATTAAAACTAGTGTTGTCCAAAGCCCCGGGGTGAAAGGTGCGGGTGGAGTGGTGGTGTCAAATCCACAAAGCAAGTATAAATAAATGAGGCCTTACTCGGTGGACAGTGTAACCTCAGACTTGTGCCGCAAGGTGTGCCTGAATGAGATTGAAAGGTGTCAGACTGGGCAGGAAGGGTAACTTGTAAGGGGCCTAAAGGTCTTGGGAAGCCTGGAAACTGCAAACTCAGGAAATCTGGCCTCTAAAGAACCTTCTTTGAGAACCCTCTGCCAGTTTCCCAGCTCCAGCTCATTCTTGGTTACCTACCTAGTCTATCGGAAGCAGCAGTTGGAGTGGTGTTCTTTGAAGAAGTCTAAAACCCAAGGAATGTGGGCATCTCTAGAAAATGGAAAAAACAAAGAAATGAATTTTTCTTTGGAGACTCTAGAAGGAATGCAACCATGTCAAGACTTTGATCTTATTCTAGTGACATTCATTTCCGATGTCAGATAATAAACCTGTGTGGTTGCAAACCTCTGAGTTGTAGTAATTTATGACCACAGCAATAGGAAACTAATATAATACATATTTGTTTGGTTTTAAGGGACTTAACCTATAAGTAAATCCAGGCTGAAGCTGGGAAGGAAAATTATGTCACTCTTGGAGATGCTAAGTGAAAGGGCTCACTTATAAAAGGGACAAACTTACAGAATTCTACCCCTTAAGGAAAGAACTCCACGTGAGTAGTCATTTCCAGACTGTACTTGTTAGCCGTCAGGTGCCGAATAAGTCACCCCAGCATTCTCAGCTTAGCTTTCTCATACTCAAAATGAGGACATGTTAGTGTGACAGGGTCATATACATATTAGTATATGTTATATGAATAAGTAATACGTACATATTCATGGTACAGAATTGAAAAAGTTTACAGTGAAAAAAGGTTTTTCCTCTCCTTGTCCTTTATGTGTCCAAGTCCCTTCTAGAAGTAATTGTTATTATTCATTTTCTTGTGTATTCTTCTAGAGATATTCCATGTATTTATAACCTGCAGGGAGGCATATTACTTTTATGGTACAAATGCTAGCATTAAACACATTGTCCTTGCTATGGCTTGTATCTAGATGTCACCTCAAGCCTCTGTGCTCATAGGTGGGGATTTTCTGAAGTGCTGGATCTAGCATGTGTGAACATAGATTAAGGATGTGATCCTGGGGTTAGTTCACTAATTGTTTTACCATAGTTCAGGGCACGCATAAAGGGAAGCTTCACCCTGGAAGTGGTTGGCACCACCTAAAAGATTTATAGGTGGGATAAAAGGGAAAGGGAAATGTGCTGCTGCTGCTTTTGTAGTGTACCTCGTTGGTCTGTCGTTGCACCCCAGAGAGAAACGGCGGTGAGTATGAGAAAAATAAAGACAAGAGACAAAAGCTGGGGTCAGGTGGAGTTACCTCTTGCCTGATGAGCAAGAGGACTGACTTCATCAGTAGGGGTGTTTATTTTATACACTTGCAAAGTTAGTATCATGACAGCGGGTAATGTAGCTTAGCGACTAACCACTGTAATTGTCCGGCAGGATGCCTTTTTCAGTACTGAGGTAGCTTGACTGCTTGACCAATAATCAGCTCTAGTGGCTCCCAACATGCTTTACTGCTTGTTGCTTCCTGCCTGTCCTGCCATGAACTATTTCTCCTCTGCCACTCTGCCACTCTGCCACTCTGCCATTCTGCCACTCTGCTTTGGAGCCAGTTGACTATGAACTAAAACCTTTACAAACTGTGAGTTGAAATAAACTTTTCCCTTTTAACTTTGGGTGTCTGGTATTTGGTCTCAGCAATGAGAAAAGTAACCAAGACTGTCCTGTACCTTTCTGTGAAGTTAAAAAATAACTTACTATTATGGCCTATATCTACATGTCTCCCCAAATGCTCATGTGGTCATACGTAGGGCTTTTTTGAGGTGGCTGGATCTAGGTTGTGTGATGCTGAGATTAAAGGTGTGATGATGGGATTAAGGTTGCCTAATTACTAAATCAGCCCACTGATTGGTTTAGTATAGTTCTGGGTGTGCATAATGGGAAGGAATACCAGGACTATAGGTGGCACCACACAAAAGGCAGGGAATTTGGAAGGGATGAAACGAAGAGGCAGGCTGCTGCTGTGGCTGTCTCCTGCCTGCTTACCATGGGCTATTTCTCCTCTAGGATGTCTGCCTGCTATGCTACTCTGCCTTAGAGCCAGTCGATTATGGACTGAAACTCCTACAAACTGTGAGCTAAATAAACCTTTCTATCTTTAACTTTGGGTGTTGGGTATTTTGTCTCAGCAATGAGAAGAGTAACTAAAACACTTGGTGATTATTACATATGGCTCCATATTAGTATAAACTGAGACTATTTCTTTTTATCACAGCATATTCCAACATTTCCATTTCAAGGTACTACAATTTATTTAACCTGTCCTCAGTGGAGACATTTAAATTGTTTTCCAGTCTTTTGCTTCCATAAGAAACTGCAGCATTTATTTTGTCACATGTTATTTTGTATGTTTCAGTATATCTGTAGAATAAATTTATGAAATTTGAGTTATCATATATATTAATTTTAAAACTTAATTAAAAATTAATTTTAAAACTATTGTTAAGTTATACTCTCAAGAGGAATATCCTAGTTACCTTTTGATTTTTTTGTTTGTTTGTTTGTTTTTTGTGGTACCAGGAATCGAACTCATGACCTTGTGCTTGCCAGGCAGGCACTGTGCTGCTGAGCTAAATCCCCAGCCCCCCTACTTATCTTTTGAAATAGATGATTTACTGGTTGTTTTTACAAAATGAGTTTAAAAACAATAATTAGCATTCTAATTTGTTGTGAAAAAAATTAATAAAGAAATTTTATAGAAAAACAAGTCACCAAAATTATTTCTGAGTAGTAAGGTTTGTCATGTGTGAATTTTCTAATTCTTCTATAAACTTATATACTAATGGAGAAATGAAAATGACCATTTTAGTAAAAATGTAAGTATACCTCTAATATTTTGGCTGAATATAAAAAGTCTTTGTGGGAGGGGAAGAAGGAAAAACTTGGAGTTAACAATACCCATGTTTAAATTCAACACCTTGGGGCTGGGGATTTAGCTCAGCGGCACAGCGCCTGCCTGGCAAGGTCATGAGTTTGATTCTCGGTACCCCCCCCCCAAAATAAATTCAACACCTTTCTTGAGAAAAAGATTTTTTTTTTAACCTCTTGCAAAAGAGCAGAACCAGAATGAAGTTTTGATGTGGGAAAATGAGAGTCAGCCAGTAAAAGGCAGGGCTGCCTTGAGATGTAGTGGGTCCACTCTCCACTGCGTGAATGCCACAGCTGTCCGAGAAGGTAGAGGGGCCAGAGAGGGCAAGAGGGGCTTCTGTGTACAGTGGGGTGGACAGCCACTCCTTTGTTCCTTCCAGATTAAGTCTGTACTCTTATGAACTTCAACATGTTCCTCAGGATGGGCAAATAAACAAAAGGACTCACTGGCTCTTGCGAAAGGAACTAAAAGCAATGACTAGTTCTCATTTTTTATTGCTTTATTTCTGCACCAGAAATCAGGTTTGTGAAAATATATGTGTGGTGTTGTTCTCCTTTCAATTTTTATTCATAGGCTCATTTGATTCAATTCTTCTTACAAGGGTTGGAACTGCTTTTTAGTTTTGTTCAATATTATCCAGTTCCAGGCACTGACAGAAGTTTATTGTCTTCTAGATGTCCCATCTAAACTTACTTTAAAAAAACCCAAACAGCTCCAGTCTAAAGTTTAGTGGGTTTTGGCCATAAATGGGGGTAACATAATAGAGGTTTCTTTTATTTATTAAAAAAAAAAATGCACCTAACACAAGAGGTGTAAAGATGAGGAGTTCACATGTTACGCTAATACAGCTTGAAAGGTGGGGAATTGTCTGAGGCCAGACCCTGTCGCCGTGTTCATTATGCTGTCTACTCTGCTTCACAGTCTGACCTCTATTCCTCTGGTCTGTTTCAGATCACTGAGAAGAGCACAGGCCATTTGGAGCCACATTTAAAGAAGTGTGTGTGTCTCTCTGACAGTGGCGCCACAGAGATGGAGCCATTTGTACTTGCCCCAGATACTGTGAAAAGCATGAGAGCTAAGATAGTCACTTTCATTTTCTGGGGAAAAAATAATGGTGTCAGTGTATCTGGAAGCCCCTCACACACAGTGCAGTGGGATGCTGACAGCAGTTTTGACCGCCAGTGGGCTGTACTCTTCTAGAATACAAATTAAATACTGAGCTCCCCCTAGTGACAATAATATAGATACACGTAAAAACAAGCACTTACGTGTATTTGCAATTCTATTATTTTAATTTTAAGCTAATGTAATTTTCATTCTTATCATTAAAACAGGATGGGGAATGTATGGGAAAATGCAGTTGACTGTTCATATGCTATACACAGGGAAATGTAGAAAAATGTTTTGTTGAAAAATAACTGGTTTCCCCCCTTTTTATTAGTATAAGTTTGTGAGACATAATTGTGGTGGATTAACTAATAGCTTGTAACACCCAGCTGAACTGAATCAGCGTGGAACTGGATGTGAAGACCCACCTGAGGGTTGTTGCCAACAACATAAAAAGAGAACTGCCGGGGAGATCGTGTGCCTATGATCCTCCTGGAGAAGCTTGTCATGCTGGTTTTCCTGATATGAACTCAGCTGTTCTCATCATTGGAGCCTGGGACACCAACGTTGCTGAGGACGGCTGCAGTTCTTTTCAGGGAGGCTCAGGTCCTTATTTGAGGACCTTCCTGGCTCCAATGCAGATCCCTCAGCTTGCTGTCACAGATCCTTTATCCTGCTGGTGCAGATTTTCTAACTTCCACCACTGATCTTCAGGCCTTCCCAGGGCAGATCTTTGGTAGAGACTTGCATGAGACATTATCACGGGCTCTAGGCCTCCATTTCGACTCATGGGGGGCATTGCCATGGGCTCTTGGTCTTTTGCTCGACCTGTGAAGGACATTGCCAGGGGATCCGGGCCATCAGCTGGATTCTTTGGGTTTCTAGTGTGCGGACAGATTTCCCACACTCTTTTGCATTTGGCTCTTTGGGTGAATATTATAAAATAATTCTATAAATTATGTGTCCTGTGTTAAATCTTTTCCTGGTAAACCCTGACTACAACATTCATCATAGTTTGCATACACAGCACATCTTGATCCTTTATGCTTCCCTTTCCCCTCCCCTCCCCCCATCTCTCCCATCTCTCCCTATCCCCAAACCCCCTTCCAGGCTCCACAATATTTAATTTTATTAAATTCAGCTGCTTTTGGGGCTGGGTATTTAGCTCAGTGGCCAAAGCGCCTGCCTGGCAAGTGCAAGGTCATGAGTTCGGTTCCCGGTACCGGAGAAAAACCAAAAAAATAAATAAATTCAACTGCTTTTATTTGTACTTCATTGTGTACTATGAAAGCTATTTATTGAGCCAGAAATTTTGTTAAGGAAACATTTCTTAAGGCTACATATTTTTAAAATTTAACTTTTTTGTGTATGTGTGCGTGCTAGGGGATTGAACCCAGGACCACAATCACACATGATAGGTAAGCACTCTATCACTGAGCTACATCCTCAGCCCATAAAATTACCATTTTAAAGGGTTACTTAAAATAGAAATTACAGTAACTAAGAAAAAACTAAAAAAAAAAGAAATTGCAGGAACTGAAAATATTTCATGTGACTATAGCATAGTATGAAAAAGGTAAAATTCAAACTCTGTCTTCTTACCAGCATCTTCCCTATCCCCTCACAGCATCCAACCACCACTGTTTTACTTTTTGTTTCTGAGTTCAACTTTTTTACACGCTCTCTCTATGTGAGATCATGAAAGCTGTATTTGTCTTCCTATGCCTGGCTTACTATATTGAACATAATCTCCTCCAGGTTAATCCATGTCGAATGGGTCACTGGGATCATGACCTAGAACGGTGTGCTCTTGTTCCTGACTTCTTTTCTCTCTAGCTCTTGTTCTGCTCTCTCTGCTTCCTGGACGCTGAGTTCTGCAGCTTCTGTCTGCCATGCCATTCCACCATACCCCTGCATTTCATTTTATTTCATCATTTCACCCCTCTCCTTCCCGCCTCCTTCCCTACCTCCTCCCATGCACTAATCCATCCACCTATTTATTCTTTTTTAGTTTTTATTTGTGTGAAATATATTCTTTTAAAATTTTTTATTAGTACATGTTTCTGTACATAGTGATCACTTTCTTTCTGGGTAGTTGGCAATGTAAGTGACACATCGTATTCTTCTTATGCCCCCCCCCCCCATCGCTTGGTCCCTTTCCCATTGCAAAAGATTTACCTCCCTGTTTCCTATTATGTATTTTTTTTGTATCTTTTATTTTGACCTTTAATTTGTTTATATTTTGGATTTCTTATGTGAGACAAGCCATGCAGTATTTAAGCTTGTGTGTTTGATTTATTTCACTTAACATTATCTCAAGGTGCATCCAAATTTCATACAAATAACTCAAATTTATCCTCGTTTATAGTAGAGTAGTACTCCACTGTGTATAAATCCCACATTTTCTGTATGCATCCATCTATTGATGAACATATAGGCCACTTCCAACAGGTAGGCTATTATTAATTGTACTGCTACAAGCATGGGTATGCATGTATCCCTGTGATAGGATGTCTTCAATTCTTTCAGGAAAATATCTAGAAGGGGAATAGCTGGGTTGAATGGAATTTCAATTTTTGGTTTCTTGAATCTCCATACAGATTTCCTAATGGTTGTATTAGATTACATTCTAACCAACAATGTAGAAGTGCTTCTTTTTCCTTGCAGCCTTGCCAGTTGATTTCTTGATGGTAGCTATTCTTGCTGGAGTAAGATGAAATCTCAGTGTTTTAATTTGCATTTCTCCAATGGCCAGGCAAGTCAAACATTTTTTCTTGTATTTATTGGCCATTTGTACTTTTACTAAGAGGTGTCTATTCACTTTAGGGGCCCAATTTCGATTGGGTCTTTTATTTTGGGTGGTCTAATTTTTTGAGTTCTTCATATATTCTAGATATTAATCTTCTATATGAGATGTAGCTGGCAAAAAAAATTTTCCCCTTCTTTAGTTTGTCTCTTCCTCTTTTGGTTATTTCCTTAGCTGTGCAGAAGCTTTATAAACTGATATAATCCCATTTGTTGATTCCTGATATTATTTCTTGTGCAATTGGGGTTCTGTTCAGAGGGTCTTTGCCTATACTATACCTATGACTTCAGGAATTTTACCTATGTCATTTTGCAACAGGTTAAGCGTTTTGGTTTTAATATTTAGACCTTTAATCTATTTTGATTTTAGTTAAGGACATGGTGACAGATATGGGTCTAGAGTCAATCTTCTGCATGTGAATAGCCAGTTTTCCTAACACCGACTGGAGACTGTCTTTCCTCCAGCATATGCTTTTGGCCTCTTTGTCAAAGATCAAACTGCTGAATATGCCTGGGCTTGTTTCAGCATCCTCTATTCGTCCCACTGATCCACATGTCTGTTTCTGTGCCCGTACCCTGCTTTTTACATCACTGTAGCTTTGCAATACAACTTGAAATTCAGGATTATGAAGCTTTCTGCTTCACTATGGTTACCCAGGATTCCTTTTGCTAATGTGGGTCTCGTCTGGTTCCATATGAATTGTAGGGTGGTTTTCTCTGAGAAATGCCCTTGGTGTTTTGATTGGGATTGCATTAAATGTATATATCATCAATTTTAGAACAGTGGCCATTTTGACAATACTGGCTCTGCTGAGGGGGATATTTCTCTCTTTTCTGATGTCTTTCAGATCTCCCTTTTAAAAAGTACTGTACTTTTCTTTGTAGAGGTCTTTCACTTCCTTGGTGTCATGGTTTGGGGTTTTTGCAAGGGGAAAAATATCATAGAGGACACATATTTTATAAGATTATTTGTAATAGTCACCCAAAGAATCATACACAAGAGAGTGCAGGAAATCTATCCACACACTAATGACCAAAGAATCCAGCTGAGGGCCTGGATCCCATGGAAGTGTCCTGTACGAGTCCAGCTGAAGACCTAGAGCTCATCACAGTGCTTCCCACAAATCCAGCTGGAGGCCCAGAGCCCATAACAATATCTCATGCAAACCTGTTTCATGGATCTGCAGTGGAAGGCCCAAAGGTCAGTGGTGGAATCTAGGAAGTGTGTGCCAGTGGGATGAAGGATTTGTTCTAACAGGCTGAGGGATCTACGCTGGAGCCAGGAAGTGAGGCTCAAAATAAGAACCAGAGCTCCCCCAAAAAGTACCATAGCCATTCTCAGCAACAGTGAGGTCCCGAGCTCCTCTGATGATCAGGACAGCTGAGCTCCCATCAGGAAAACCAATGTGACAAGTTTCTCCAGGAGACTGAGCAGTGCATCATCTTCTCCTCTGGAGCCAGGAAGTGATGCTCAGAGTGAGGACCAGAGCTCCCCCAAAGTGAACCGAAGCCATTCTCAGCAACAACAAGGTCCTGAGCTCCTTGGAGGATGAAAACAGCTGAGTTCATCAGGAAAACTAGCATGATAAGCTCCTCCAGGAGAACCAATAGCTCCTTACAGCTTGTCTCAGCTTCCAATAGGCTCCCAGCAGCTTCTACCAGCTCCCAATAGCCTTTTTCTCCTTCTCCAGTTCTTCCTCCTATGCTGCTGGCAACAATCCTCAGGTGGGCCTCTTACTCCCAGCACCACACTTAGTTCAGCTGGGTGTTATAAATTGACCACCAGTTGTCAATCTACCACACTTGATTAGGTTACTACCTAAGTGTTTAATTTTTCTTGATGCTATTGTAAATGGTATTGTTTTTCTGACTTTTTTTCTCAGAAGTTTCATTATTGGTGTATAGGAAAGCTATTAAGTTTTGTGTATTGATTTCATATCCTGCTACATTACTGAATTGGTTATGAACTCTAGGAGTATTTTGGTGGACTTTTTGGGGGGTCTGCTATGTAAAGGATCCTATCATCTACAAAAAAGAAAACCTTGACTTCTCCCTTTCCTATCTCTATCCCTTTTATTCCTTTCTCTTGCCGGATTGCTGTGGCTGGTGTTTCGAGAACTATATTGAAGAGCAGTAGTGATAGTGGATGGATATCTGTGGTGGATTGACAACTGGTGGTCAACTTATACCCCCCAGCTGAACTGAGTAAGCATGGTGCTGAGTGTGGGAGGCCCACCTGGGGATTATTGCCAGCAGCATAAGAGGCAGAATTGAAGCAGAAGAAGGAGGCTGTTGGGAGCTAATAGAAGCTGCTGGGAACCTGTTGGAAGCAGAGAGAAGCTGTAAGGAGCTGCTGGTTTTCTTGGAGGAGCTTATGCTGGCTTTTCTGATAAATTTGGCTGTTTTCATCCTCCAAGGAGCTCGGGACATTTTTGTCTCTGGGAATCGCTTTGGTTCACTTTGGGGGAGCTCTGGTCCTCACCCAGCATTGTTTCCTGGCTCTGGAGGGGAAGAAACACAGCTCAGTTTCCTGGAGAAGCCTGTCACATTGGTTTTCCTGATGGGAACTCAGCTTTCCTGATCGTTGGAGGAGTGATACCTTTTGGGGGAGCTGGATTCTTACTTTGCAGGTTGCTTCCTGGCTCCAGTGCAGATCCCTCAGGCTGCTAGCACAGATCCTTCATCCCACTGGCACAAACTTCCTAGATTCCACCACTGACCTTGGGGCCTTCCCAGTGCAGATCCATGAAACAGGCCTGCATGGGATATTGTTATGAGCTCTTGGTCTTCAGCTGGACTCATGCAGGACATTTCCATGGGACCGAAGCCCTCTGTTAGATTCCTTGGTCTTAGTGTGTGGACAAATTTTCTGTACTCTCCTGTATTAG